TCCAAGCGCTTGCAACGCGCGCACGCTGAGTTGATATGGAGAAGATTGATGACGATTTTGAAGATTTCCTGCAAAAAGATGATGTGCGATGCAAGTAGATGCGAGAAATCAAAGAAGATTTTTCGAAGTTTGATTCGTTAGTGTGAGCATCTAGAATTGGGTTCTTAATTGTAGGCTCAAAGACTAAAACCAACAGGCTCAATGATGAAAGTTTAAAAACCAGCATAGTTTTTATGACTCAACTGAGTTTTCAATTGCAGTAAAACATACTTTGGCGAAACATGTATGTAAACAAACTTTGATAGAGTCATGGGGGCTCGAGCACTTCTGGCTCAGAGATTTTGGCGGGAATCAACTGAGAAAGAACGAAACAATTTTAAACTTGAACAAATTTTCAAGCAGTTTTCCATTGGCTTGCAAAATGAAATCGATTTACTCTGCAGTACTCAGCGAATAAGGTGATTTTTGCAAATGTAATCGTTCTTATTTAAAATAGTTCCAGTGTACCAAAATTGATGAAATTTTGGGTTTGGGTTCCATTTTTAATGCAGATTACGAATATGCATTTACCTCAATACCCTTAAAGAACCCAATTGAGATTTAGATGTGTCGCCCCCCTCGGGCTAATTGGAGTTCACACCCGCACTGAATCATTTGAAGATACGCTGCCAGTGAACTAAAAAAAGTCAGTTTTGCTCCTGACTGCTAGGGGAATTGTATTAGCAATTTCTCGGCGTTACGCATACATTTGACGTGTTTTTTTTGTTAACATATATCTGCTGCTTGCTATTATATCAATTCCAATCGATATAGGGGAAATGTCTCTAATGTTGGCCTATGGATCTAAGATTGGGTTCATAGCAAAAAATCTGCTATTTATCAACTTTATCTAGATGAACGCGTCATTGGGACGATCCCTAATAAATAAATACCATAAACAAACGATAACCCAAATTGTTGAACTCTTCCACAAATGGTTTGGATGATACCCCACACACGTCGTTAAGCAAAATAACCATACAAGTTAAGCAAAATAACCATACAAATTTTATTAGGGGTACTAATGGAAATTTTTGGTCGCTATTGAAAGTTTAGTCAATTGCTGAATTTATGTATGGGCCCCAATTTGGGGCATTTAGGCCGACATTACATCCATTTCCCCTAGTTGTCCAAAACGGGTTAATAACATTTTTACAACGCTCCAAACTACTCAGGTGTGTGTGACTATTGTCGGCAGCTTCTTTTTCTTCGGCAACCTTTCCATTTGAAGTGCGTGTTAACCAACTGTTCTATTATCGGCAACTCGAAATCTGCTGTATTTTGTAGTGCGTATGTTTCATTTGAAGAAGAATCAGACATAACAGGTTTGTCTAGTCGTAAAAATGTAATCAGATTGAAGCTGAACGACTAAGGAATCGTTTAAATACATTCAGCGAAGTGTGGATGCAGATGGAAATGATGTGAAAATGATAATGACGTTTTGCTAGCTGTCAAATCGTATGGATTATTTTTTAGTATATCATCACTTTTGTGGTTTTGGATTTCAAACCTAGGTGTCGCATACACTGGTGCAGTTTCGCGTAGATTCATCAATAGACCTTTTTGACGTTTAATCATCTTTCTCTATCTGGATGCATGGACGTTTTGTTTTCCCACTTATCTGCTTAGTTTTTTTTTTCTGATTTGACAGTTCATTTGGATACACGGTCATAAGATCAACACAAATTTTAGTTCAGTTTACTCATTAATCGCAAAAAGTGATAACTCGAGTCGCAACATTCCGTATGGCGGCGGTAGTGTTTCAACGTATTTTAATTTGAATTCTTACACATAATTTTTCGAAAAATTTGTTTAAGCTTGGATGTCTGTTCTCTGTAGTTCTACTATGGTTCAATCTATGACAACACATCTTTAGAAATCAAAGAGCACCTGACATCACAAACCTTTATGTTGCAGAACTAAGCCAGACAAGCAGCTTTAAATTAAAACTTATTAAAGTTAACATAGCCGGCGCCGGTGGTGTAGTGGTAAGCATGACTGATTTCTCACCCCTATGGGTATTGTTTCAATCCCAGCCGCGGTCGGTGGGATTTTTCTGAGGCTTAAAAATTTCTGGTCACGTCTTCCTTCGGAAGGGAAGTAAAGCCGTTGGTCCCGGCCCATATGTGTTGAACGGGTGCGATATCATACGCAGGTGTGGAAGCTGCCTTGCTGCATATTCGATTGCCGATGGCAATCGATATCCGTCGGTGATTGGCACTAGATTGCGGAATAGAGACCGACGTTAAATAAAGAAAGAAGAAGAACAAGAAGCTTGTCGAAGCACCTCTCCATGACCATCCATCAAGTTGACGAAAGAAGTAAAAAGCAACTGGTGAATGTCGTCTTCGGTGGTGATCCATCACCGATCTGATCATTTCCGACAATCACGACACTCATCTGTGCTCGTTTTGAAGCAGTTGCTGCTTTGCTTGCTTATGTGAGTGTGTTGGTGAGTGAGCCTAACAGCATCCGTTTAATTTTGCCAGTTTTGTTTGTAACTCACACAGTCGCGCGTGCCAAGACGAACTTGGAATGCGTAGGCATTGTTTTTATTTACTTCAGTCGTTTCGCTTTTTCTCGTCATCGTACTGCAGAAGTCTTCACTGTTTTCATCATCATCAGCAAGTGTTACGTTTTGCCTGTGAGCAGCGACCATTACTGGTGATCGTTGTTTGCCATGGCTACACTGAACCAAAACATCCACCGATCGTTGAATGAAATCTCATTAAGCGTCAAGCAAAGCTTATGATTCCTGAGATTGAATGAAAAACACGTGGAATGATTTTATGATCAACAATAAGTGGGTTTTGTTTACTTTTTAAACGTTTTTTTTTCTTGTCATCCGATAATCAGTCACATATTAATAGGCACAAAAAAGTTTGTTTTTCATCGTGAACAAAAATGAATATATTTCATCATAGCCCGTTTATGAAAATCATTCTATTTCAGGTTTGTCATCATCTTTCGGCTATTTTCCATCAGGTAGTAAATGGCGGCAAACATCGTGACTGCGCGAGTTTGTTTTCATTTGTGAAAAAAAGTGAAATTCAGTGTTTGACTAAAAACAATAAAATGAATGGTACATGCCTCAAGTTTGTTCGGGAAAAAGTGATATTTTGTACTCTCGGTACCTCTATCGTTCTTTTTTTACGTGATGACATCCGTTGATTATTTTAAGATTTATTTAAGATCCATACTTTTGTAATAAAGTAATATGTGTACACATAAAAGCCATGTGTAACCACACATACTAGTCATTTGACTCATAAACTTCATGTGTGCTTCTGGGTGAATTCTGTTTATGTGTGGTCACATGAAAATCATGTGGAATTTTACATGGAAATTCGTCAATAAAAATGTGCGGAATTCTTTTTTTTTGCTTGGTTTGTTTTCAGTCGATCTTGTTTTCCGTGCTGAGCACCAATGCTACCGACGCCAGGAAGGCAGCTCTCACACCTGGACCACAGACAAACAGACGTAACTCTTTGAAAAACTTGTTCTTGAAAACATAGTATCTCAAAACATATAACCTCAGCAACGACATCTCTCTGGCTTCTCGCGGAAAACAAGCTTGCTCGCTAACTCGTAAACAATATTGCATAAAAGTTCTATAGAATGTATAGAAACGTCAAAGTGATCTGATGCCAGCGCTGCGGCGAGTAGTTCGCGGAACTGATAATATTCAAATCAACCGTTAAATGCATGAACGAAGATACACAATGAAGAGTTACGTCTGTTTGTCTGTGCCTGGACCCTACCTATCGACCCATCAACTCATGAACCGGGGACCAACGGCTTTACTTCCCATGGCGTGATCAGAGATGCCTCAGAACATCCCGGCGGCGCCGACTGGGATTGAACCCAGGCCTGCTGGGGTGAGAGGTAATCACGCTTACCACTACACCACCGTCGCCGCGTGTGTGGAATTCTATAAGTGTCTATAATCTTTAAATTGAATGTGTGAATGTTTCTGAATTGACATCAGACATTGATCATGAATTCATTCGGTAAGTTAGTTCCAGTTTAAAAGCATTCTTAATTAATTTTCTTTGCTATTGATTCCCATTTGGTACCCGGCGAGATTAATTTCGTCCTATTGTTTGGTTGGTACGGTTGAGTACGTGTGATAAGTTAAGTTTTTGATCATGTTTAAACAAGCGTTCGAGCGGTTGTGTCCGGGTTAGTTTCTTTCTCGTTCTATAAGAATAGTAGCCGCAATAGAATGACCGTCCAACTTTTGCTTTTCAGTGTTTTGGGTTTGGATCATTCTCGTTAAATTATGACCATTGATTGTACTTGAATACCGCGTTATAGAAATTGGTTGGAACTGATACTTATTAAATCCTTTCAGAGAGGTCATTCAATCGATGTGGCTTCTTTGCTCTCGTTTTCGTGCTGAAGTTACATTTTGCCGTTGAAGCCACCACCGGGATTGAATGGTAATAACAACAACTCGATTGTTTTTGTGATATAAGCAGCTCGGTGGTACAGCAACCTTTTTTTGCTCAATTCAGATCAAATTTAATCTACCCACTAACAAAAATCCCTTCCATGAGAACCGTGGAGATATTCGGTCTCTAACAACGGTGGTCGACTGCAAGGACTTAGCCGGCGCCATTATTGACAGAATTAAGTAATGAGATTCCAAAAGTTGTACATTGAGAAAGATCAGCTAAACCCAAGCTACATTCGTTTGGTCCAAAGTAAAATTTTGCTGGCTTTGTCAACCATGGAGTAGCTACTGCGATATGTGCAGTCGTTCAAGCTCTGACTCAAGCTCAACTCAAAATTCACCAGTATTTTTTTTTCTAAAAATCGCTAAATTTAAAGACATTTCGTAAATCTATTTGAAGATTTTTTTTTCTAAACACATCTGCAATCCCTGGTCATTCCCTTGCATTCGTACACTGTAGATCTCAACTGCGATAAGGCATACGACAAGTAAGAAAACACTGATGTTAAATAAAATTTCTGTATAAGACAGTATATTTTAGCTGCTTGCTATTATCTATAATACATGGGGTAAATAAAATAATATTCGCTTTCGATAATTTAAAAAGAGCAAAATCAGTTATTTTATACGTTTGTAACAATACAGGTTAACATAAAGCTCAATCTTGAAATTCAAAAGAAAATGCTTATCAATGGCAACATCCATATAGCAGTCCGAAGTTGAATGAAATCTCGAAAATAAAGGATACATTTAGCCGTTTAACATTTACGTGGTAAAGTAACTCCTTGTTTTTTTAGACCATCAATACATCGTTTGTTTCCTTGTTTTTTTTTTCCTTTATCTATGGTCTGGTTTTGGTTTTATCTAGGGAAATGATTATGACAATGATTCGTAAAGGATACAGAATAGTGAAGGTTTTAATAGTATGGTAGAAATACATCTGAGTATATTCGATTAAAAGTTACAGTGCTTAATGATTTTCCCCATCGGCTGCTTGCCGTGGGCAGAAGCCATTTTTTTAGTGCTAACTTTGTTTACCATGTTTTGAAACGGTGTTACAGAGTCTACAGGTTACATTGGGAGACACCACTGTAGTAGTTAGATGAGTATAGGAGTTTTGTTTTTAGGTGAGAACTAAAATCAGGATTATAATGATAATAAATACTCTCTGCCAAAACTAATCAACAGGATTTTTCATTAGCTACGATTTCGCACTGTTAATAAAATATACTTTCCAATTTATATGCTTGCACGATGCTTACTTTTCAGCGTTTAAAAAATATTTGTTTGATAAATTTTCACCTCCTTGATATTCTTTTCTCTGGATGATCGTTCGTTTCTATCAAATTTTCTTCGTTTTAAAAAGGCAAGATTTACATTTTTTTTGTTTGTTCGTTCGTTTTTCATCTCTTTCGAATGTTCCGTTTCATCGACATTCCTTTTTTCTGCTATTCCAATTAAAAACAGTTTACTATCCGTATCCTATCAGTTAAATAAATGCTCGTTCAACTTCTATTCATTGACTTCGATTAAAAAATAACGTTATTTTACGCGACTACCCTTTGTGTTGTGTGTTCGTTTTCTTTTGTTCTCGTCATGTTCTGGTCAATTGAAACATATCTATCGTTATATGATGCTTTGTTCAGATGAATCTGTGTACATAACTGTCAAATGCAACGTTGAATTGAATGGTAAGTGAGATGTACAAAAATATTTTACAACTATTGACAAAGGTGACATTTTGTTCTGCTTCAATAAATTATTTTTAATACTAGCTATATAACAATTGCATTTCCTTTAAATTAACCTTTTCGTTCCGATTTCGATAATGAAATAACAGAAGCAGGACTATCGACTGTCGTGTGGATGAATCGATGTGTTTCCTCATTCAGACACTTGATTTATTATTATACATGTAGTTTGGGTTCCGTTGTATGCCGATGAATGTTATCTACTGGGTCCAGTCTATCAATACATCTCTAGCTTGATGGGTGTTTCATCTAAACTACGACATTTAATACGACAGAGTTCCACACAGTCATTTCTTTGTATCTTACGGTTATAGGGTTAAGCTCACTATGGGATCAGCTTGAATCTTCCTTAGTGGTATTCAATTGAGAAGCGTTCTACTACCTAGTCACTAGATTCCGGTATAGATGGTAGTAATAGTTCTGATAATTCCGTTTAGTACCATTGCTAGGAGATTCTATTCTCAACCGAATACCGTGCAGCTTCTACCAGTAGAGTATTCGGATTTGATCGATGATCCTAAATCGAAAAAATGCCCCTGCTATGCCGAAGAACGTTCCCAGAACAACGCAGGCAACGATGACCTGCATTGCACAATGCACAGTGGGATGCCCTGGGGCCATGTTGTTGTAATGGTGCCTATGGCGTCGGTGGTAGTGGTCATCTCCATAAGGCCGGATGTACTTTTCATCTATTTCGTGTTCGAATGCTGGAATTATTGCAAAATTGACCACTTCGACCGAGTTGTCATCCGAAGTGGCCCATTCTTCGTCACTTTCTTCCTTAACGACCCGGGGAGGCAGTGCTGGTGTGGTTCGACGGTTGATCGAGAAGCGGGACCGACTGAACCCGTTCACGCTGTATCCTCCTCGGTCGCCCAGGGAAAGTCTGTCTTCGTACTCGACATTGGCATTGTTTCGAAAGTTTTTGCTGACATAGTTGCTTACTATCCTGTTGTTGGGGCCAGTGCTGTTGTCACTTCCGTTTATACTGCTCAGTAGTGACGACAGAAGATTGTTGCTGTTGGTAATTCTCATCTTGTGAGTTGACGTTTCTATATTTGGTATTTTTACACTAGTGTCTAGGTACAAATTTTTCTTAATGCCTAAAACCTCCGACAGAGGACGATTGATCAGCAGTGTGTTTTCTTGGCGTTCTTGGTAAAGATGATCGTTCTCATCCGGAATTGGGTTCAGCGAATCTTCCCGCCGGGGAAGTGACGCCATCGTTGTAGTAGTCATAGTGGCAGTAGTAGTAAAAGTACTTTGTAGCTCCGTCCCGAGAGACGGAGTCGGTTCATGGGACGCAGTTTCCGGCTGCGCCCCGTTCGTTAGGTGTCTATTGTTTACATAGCTGTCGATAGAATCAGATTCAACCGTCGCCGGGTCTATGATCACATTGTTGCTGTTCCTATTAAAACTATCATAACTATCGTAATTACTATTATAAATACTATTTTTTGTGGTAATATTTTTAATACTGTTGAGAGCGTTACTGCTACTGCTACTAGTAGTACTCTTGTTATTATTGTCGATCAGTTGTGTCAGAATGTCCTTATTGGTGATGGGTTCATACTTGTTCCGGAAAGTTTCGCTGTTATCCGAGGCACCGCGGTACAAGAGAGCAACTTTACCATCGGCCGTCATTACCGGCGTGATTTTCTGATGAACTTCTATGGTTCCATTTTGCCTCTCGTTTGACTTCTTCGTCTTGTCGTCTTCAGGAGACGTTGGTTCTACTTTGTACAATATTCCCACCTTTCCATTCGGAGTAGTGATTACTTTAATTGAGTCATTCTTCCGTAACTTACGACTACCAGATGATAACAACTCGTCACCGTCATCAGCGAAATCGTCGAGCCGAGACTTGAAACGATGTGCTGCGGTTTTACCCTTCATGAAATCTTGCATCACATTCTTGCTATCCGTCGACGAACCAGTTGACGATTTACCCTTTTGATCAGATTTCTTGCTGTCAAATTCTTCATCGCTATAATCATCGTAATAGTCGTCATCTTCATCAAAAGCCTGTTTTTCGCTTTCTTGGTCTCTCTGTTTTTGCTTTTGAATCACCGAATGGGCATCTTCGTAATCTTCATCATCATCGAAGAGATCGTCATCTTCCTTGACTTCTTCCTCCTCCTCCTGAGTGAACAACGGCTTTGTCTTCATCTGCTCTAGGTGCTTCATAACCTTCTGGAAGTCATCCATCGGTTCGCTGGACCCCACACCTGCATCGTCATTTTGCATCATTTCGTCCTCATCAAAGTCGGTCTCGAAATTGACCCATTTATCATTAGAACTAACGTTTCTTACTCTATCTCCTGCCTCGCTAAACCTAGATGATCCTAATCCTAAACTATCGAATCCTGCTACTTGCACTGCTGCTGCTGGTATTGGTGTTGTAGTTGTTATTGTTGTTCGGGTAGTCGCGTCTTGCAGTCAGTAGCATTTCTTTGTACAATGGCATTTGCGCACGATATCTAGGTGCTTGATGTATTTGGTATTGTTGCTACACACCATGCGTACCTAAGGAATGGTAAATAAAAACATTCATTAACTTGTTACAAACAATTGAAAAGCTGATGAGAAAATCTTACTTTTCTTCGTCGTACGACTTTGGCTGCGCAGCATTGATTTCCGCAACCACCGATGCACTTGGCGTACTTAAGTGGCTGTCGAGAGCGGCAGTCGTTCTCGGTGTAGTATTCTCGAACCTGTTCCTTCCGGCATGTGGATGATCCCGCTAGTGAATAAAAAGCAAATAAGGTGATCATGTTGAATTCCAAGTTGCATAAATTACGAGATCTATGAAACTACTAAATATGTTGTCATGCACAAGTTCAACTCTTCCGTTTTAGCGGATTTTTGACGAGTTTTGGAGTTTTCAATCAATTCATGCATTCCACAGAAGATTTTCATGTGTTTCGAATCGAATTTCAAGGTGTTTGAGCACACGCAAAGGTGCATCTTAAAAGTGTTGCCGCCAAAAAAGGACTTGAGCTTAGAGGTGATAAATGTATATTTTTACTGCAGAGATGTCATCACTAAAATGATTAGGTGAAAAAATGTACCAGGGCGGTTTGGAGAACCTATAACATCTGATATACTAGGAAATAGATCACACATAATGTACAAAGACTCGATAAATATGTTAGGACATGTTGCAAAACACATTGTAGATTAACAATTTTGATCTCCATAACGGTTTGGAGAATCTAGAACATACAAATCGATTGAAAATCATGATGCGCATAGACTTTTTATTGTTCGTTGCTAAGATCATTGTTGAAGTCATAGTTTTTAGTTGGGCATTTGATCTAACCTCCAGGACGATTTGTAGAATCTTGAATACCTATTGGCTCTATAAATCTGCTTAGGCATATTTAGTTACTACAAACTGTTCCAGTCTTGATTGATCTACATTAGTAGATTAGTAGATTAGTTGATATGAACTCCAGGATAGTGAATGATGCACATACATATCATGCATCTGTTTGTGCCTATTTCTATACTACATATATTTTCCTAGCTGTGGTTGATTTAGTGGATCAAATAATCTGAAATCCAGGTTGATTTTGGAAAGCTGAGATGATATGGAAAATACAGATTATATTGGCTCGGTGAACCTTCTTGGATATATTTTGATACTAAACATATTGCCCCAGTATTTTTTTTTTATTTTTTTTTCCTTTGGTTTGTTTTTTCCGTCGATCTTGTTTTCCGTGCTGGACACCAATGCTACCGACGTGCCAGGAAGGCAGCTCCCACACCTGGACCCTACCTATCGACCTATCAACTCATGGACCGGGGACCAACGGCTTTACTTCCCATCCGAAGGAAGGCGTGATCAGAGATGTTATGCCTCAGAACATCCCGGCGGCGCCGACTGGGATTGAACCCAGGCCTCACGCTTACCACTACACCACCGGCGCCGTTATTGCCCCAGTCTTGTTTGATGTGATTTGAAGAACCTGGGACATCTGATACTCATAAGAACGTATCGCGAATGATCCACATTGGCTCTATGAATCTGCTAAGGCATATTTCGGTATCACATGATGTAGATCAGCTGAGGGGAACTGCAGAATTATTTTGAGATCCGGCATCATCTCACATATATGGATGTGTATCACAAATCATGCGCAAAGGCTCCATGAATCAGTTTGTACAAATTTTCCTACTATGTACTACCCTCTCGGTCATTCCTCCTTTATATAGTCAATGATTAGTACTCTAGGATTGTTTGGATGTTCTAAGAAATCCCGAATTTTGTTTTTGTTGATTGTTTGCGTTTTTTGTTTGATTAGTGATAACAACAATCGAAAAAATGGTAAACCGTGTTCAAATAGTTCATGTTTACCGTTCTTACAAAGAAGGGTAGGCATACCGCTGGAGGCTTGGAGGGCCGAGTGTTATATATCACTCGACTCAGCTCGACGAGATCGCAACGTGTGTCTGTATGTGTGTGAATGTATTAGGGTGGGTCAACATGATAATTTTTTTCAGCCCAATTTTGTTTGGTTCAATTTGTTGTCCCAAATAACTGTGCAACTGTTTTCCACATAGCGTTTGAAATTTGTATGGGAAAACCATATTCATTCCTAGTGACCACAGTTTTTCGTATCTACAAATGTTAAAGTATAGTCCAGGAAGTGCCTAACAATTTTGCCCAAGAAAGTACGGTGCGTGAATGTCTTTAAAAAAAGGTTATAGCTGTTCAAAGATAGATGTTTCGAATTAAATGCCAAAAATCACTTTTCCTGCCAACACTGCCAGTGCACCAATGAAAGTCAGATTTAAAACTGAAATAATTTTAATTTCTTGTCTTATGGGTTTGAGATGAATTATTCTCAAACAATAGCTCTATCTTATATGCCTAGTTGATGAGGGGGGAGCGCTTATTACACCCTCCCCCGACCCCTTACTCATATCAATGGAAGTAATGTTTCAATAATTCGGATGAATTATTCAAAAACAATTACTCAATCTCATAAACGTAGTTAGAGAAAGGGGTGAGGCCTTACTATATCACCGCCCCAGTCGTTCATATCAATGGAGGTAAAGCTTCAAACAGAAATATCTACGGTGTTTCTCATCTTGTCAAGTTGGTATGTTCAGATGTGTTATTCAAAAATATTTGCTCAATCTATAAGGCGTAGTTGGATAGGGGGGAGCTTACTGTATCCCTTCTGTCCCCTCACTCATATCAATTAATGTACAGAGTAACAGACTGAAATAACTTGGGAATTTCCCATCTCCTCGAGTTGGTATGTTCGGATGGGTTATTCAAAACCATTTGTTCAATCTCATAGGCGTAGTTCAAAAGAGCAGAGCATTTCTTTCACCTACTCTTTTAAAATTAACGAAAAACGTGCCTACCTGTTGTGTTAGCTGAAACAGTGGTCAATGAAATCGCATTTCGTGTGTGACGATGAATTCGCACGCGAGTTGGATCAGCCAGCTCGAAAATGAACATAATGGGATGAAGAAAACCCCAAAAACAGGAAAAATATAAAAACTGGCTTCACGAGTTTCGTGTCAGACACATAGTAGGCACCAGTCGAATTTCGCTCGTTGGGCTATCTTTAAGTGGGCTACGTTTTAGTAGGGGTCCCTTTAGTTGGGATGTAGCCCACCTAACCTAAAGTCAAACTTCATTTCTGACAGTGCTGATTCCTTTTCGAAACTTTGAATGACTTCATGCGACAACTGGCATACGAGTGTAGTAATGATACAGGTTATTTAAATGCGAAACAACAAGTTGCTTTCTTGATGGTCGTCAACGATGTGGCTAAACGAAAGGTGAATCTAATTTCCGACTTAAAAAAAATCCACCCGGGATACAGATCCACAGCAGCATTTGCTTCAGGTGATCAAACAGCATCGAAAAGAGTACCCTAAGAAATCGTAGAATATATTAAACTGAAATATAATCATTACAATCCTATGACATTTACAGTGTATCTCAAAATTGATCGTACAGCAGTACGCCTCTAAAAGCACAAGTTAAAAAGATACGTCTCTGAATTTTTGGCAGCTGACTCAGCATACATTTATCAATTATTGGCTCATTATTGGGTATATTTGGTTGAGTTGACAAAAAATTTTACTAAAATTCGTCCACTCGGAAAAATGTTGAAAATTGAACGTTTTACTAAAATAAATTTAACGTCATACAGGCTCCTCCAATAAAGACCGAAACTATAGCAATAAGTGAATAAACATCTGTTCCACGATTTAAAAAAATACGTCTATTTACCATGTTATTTTTTTTTAATATCTTTATTAAAGGCTGGTTCGTCTCCACAAAAAAAAAATCCTTTCAGAGTGTACGATCAATTTTAAGATACACTGCATGTGAAATCGTCTGACATTGTATATTACACCAAAATAGTAGAAAAGGGGGGGGGGGGGAGGGGTACTGCTCCTATGCTATGAGATCAAGCAAATTTTTTTTAATAATCCGAAAATACCAATTCGAGAAGATGGGATACTCCGAAATTATTTTCCCTAACCAACTACGCCTTATAGATTGAGAAAATATTTTTGAATACTCTCCAACTATGCTTATGAGATTGAGTAATTGTTTTTGAATAGGTTGCTTGGTTGGTTGTCTTTATTAAGGAGATTTTCAGCCAATTTTTGAATAATTCATCTGAACGTACCAAATGGGTAAGATAAGAAACTCCGAAATTATTTCAGTTTGGAATCTGACTTCCATTGGAACATCAGCAGTGTTGGCAGTAGTAGTATTATACCGCACAAAAGTTTTGAAATTGTAAATAAACATTCCTCTTGTGGATGTTCTAAAGTGAGCCATATTGATGAGAAAATGAGTTAAAACTGAACTATTTTTAAAAACACAATAAAACTGAAATTGTTTGAAAAATTCCCTTTTTCTTTATAGTTAAGAGCTTTTAGAAGAAGTTTCATAGAACATATGGACTAAACTAGCGCTGGCAAAAATAGGTCAAATCATGATTCATTTTTGGATAGGGCCAACCAAAATTCATTATCCTATTTTAAATTTAAAAAAGTCTCACTTTTCGAAAGGACATATCTGCTTTTGTAAACATTGATTTTGGTCGTCAATTTGACGTAACTGGTAGCTCGCTCATGCATGCTAACACTACCATCAGATAGGGGAAATTTCCAGCATGATTAACCGCCCACTGTTGCTACTCTGTTATTGGCAGATCAGCTGTAATTACACAGAGAACGAATTTACAATGCTTGGGACCAGTGTTGTAAGTGGTCACCGCCGTCGACATATTTTCTGTGATAATCAACTGCCTTTGCTTCCGACACTTACAAAACAAGCTATTAAATTACAGCACCAAACTAAAATGTCATACGACAGGCTCTGTCAAACGACACTGTTGCGGAAGACCGTCACGAGTGTATATATTTTAGTTTTTCTCATAATAAGAGCTGCTGATGTTGTGCTTGTGTGAATTCTGAAAATAGCAAGCAATGATGTCCTAGTAATAACATTTCTGATCAGAAATGGTTTAATTTACACCAAATTGAGGAATTAGAACGAAATCACACATGTCATATGATAGTTATTTGAAAATTTTCTTTTTGCTCGAATTTTGTTCTACCATTTGTGTTGTGTAAGAGAGACGACGGTAGAGCATGAGAGTACGAATAAAAACTGACTGTCGCGCATGACAACGAAGCGAGTGTCGTAAAAAACGTCATCAGTTTTAACCCCTGCTTGGGACTAAAATTCATCATCAATGTATACAAACTGGCGATTTCAAACTATGTAATACCAGCTCCGGAAGCTCTCGAACACAGGTAAAGAAAGGAATCGGTAGGAATGTGTTGACGTGACACTCGCTTTGATGGAAGCCGAGGAGTCCTCTGCACTTCCACGAGGGATCATTGGGATGTTGGGTAAAAGGGTTGGGTTTGCAGCAGGGTTCGTTTTGGTAAACGATAAACTGAATTGATGTCCTAACGATCATGTAATGTGTGAAACAGCTTGGGATTGTCCTTTTTAATTATCAAGTCTGTATTACCATGTAGTCATACTAACAAATAATATGATTGACGAATCTTGAATGTGGATTGGCCCTAGATTAGACTCATGATGTTCTGCTCAGTAAGCAAAAACGGTCGCTCTACCCGAGTAGCACACTTCCATTAAGAAAAGTTGCAGCAACTTGTTTATGACTGAAATAAGTCGTAAAGAAGTTTCTAAAACCGATATGTGACAAGCGTGCTACTAGGGTAAGGTTACCGAGCCCCTCATATTACATCATATCGGTACTCGAGTTGTTGTAACCATTCAAACCCGGCACTAACGACGACGACAAGTTTAGCAAAATACACGATAAACAAGCAATTCGACTATAAATCTCATTAATATTAAAGGATCTGGGACCGCGATTTTTGTTCAGTAATCAAGCCACTTGAACTGACAATCTTTTAAATCCTAAAACTAAAAGCTACAAAAAAGTCTTCATTAAGTTCCACATTCAGAAGACGTTCAATGTTAGTTTAGTTTAGTTTTCTTTATTAGGGAGGTTTTCAGCCTGAGGCTGGTTCAACTCCGCGGACGTTCAATGTTTAGATTTGCTCTTAACGCATTGTTCAGGGTATCATAATAAGCTAAGACCGACAAGACAACTGACAAGAAGCACTGGTTAAATAAGCTATTTAAATGAAATTGCGTTCTCGAAAGCAATCAACAATGTATCACAAACTGTATCAAGCGTGCACCTAATTTTTTTTTCTAAACATTCCGAAGCGTTCCTATCAGTAACGTAGCCTGGGATGCCGACAGTATCGCTTTTCTTATTTTCTAACTAAAACCGCAAAATATGTCACACGCAATCGAGGTTTTACATACTAAGATTATGTTTGCGTGTTCGGTAAATTTTACCAAAATAACAGCTGACGTTCGGTACAACTTTGAGCTTCATTTTAAAATCCATTGAATTAATAAAAATATAATAATTTCAAAACACGTTCAAAGTTGTTTAAATGATCAAATCTTGTCATTTTAGTGGAGCATCACTTTTAGCTTGCACTATAAGTCCTGAGCAATTTACGCAGTGAATTTTATCGAAAAGTAACTCTTCTTTCTAGAAGTTTTTATTTTAATTTTTAATTTGATTTAAATTAACTTCACTTTTTCACAATTAACTGACTACTTCTCCGAATCTTGTCACTAGTATTAACAAGGACTAAAATGTGTTCCTTTGATTACTGAAACATCCTGATCCCCTAGTTTTAAGATGTCAGGCTAAAGGTGGGCAAAACAGCTCATCTAGCTGAGTGGATCAAACCCATCCAGCTCACTAAAGGGACTCGATTCTTTTGAACAGCTCTTCAGCTCACATTGAAATTATAGAAATTATGACACAAATTCAAAATCGGAAAATTAATTTGTGGTTTTAGTGCATAAAACTGCATAAAATCGTAAAAGTAGTCTAAACCAATTAATCCGTACCTTATAATATGGCACTACTTTTCAATGGAAAACGCCAATAACGCAACAACCATCACGTAAATCAAAATGCGCGCAAAATGTGCCAGCAACATATCAGTAAAAGCAAAAAATGTATGCGAGAAAGCTACACCTATAAGCGCGATGATATGATTCACATCGTGACACATGATGTTACGCCTTTTCTCAAGCTATGCAATCCAGTCTACATACAGCTTTTATTTCTGATGTTAATTCTCCAGCAGAATTTCTCTCACTATTATCGGCTTCAGCTACAGCTCATCAGCTCAGATCCGGATTCGGAGCTGAATCGTGAAGAATCGAGAGAGAAAAAAGATCCGATGAGCTGGACGGGTCCGAGAGTTGTCAACAGCTCCCAGTGAATTATTCGAGTAGAGGATTCGGATCCGAAGCTGAGCTGATAAGCTGGAGAGCTGCATTTCGCTTTTCGGTTATTTGTTTTGTGCGGATCTTCCGCTCCCCCAGAGAATGATGCGAGGAGAAGTGAGAGCACATATGCTGGAGGAATAACATCAGCAATAAGAGCTGGGTACATAAATAAATTATATAAAACCAGTAGAAAATTAACATCGCGTAGCACATGTGCATACTATGTCTCTCTCTCCCAAACAGCCACTTGGAAGTTTGCTTTTACCATTGGTGCTGTCGATCAGTAGGCACATGGTGTATTACGCTTGTGTCTTGGTTTACGCGGTGACTATTAAATGCGTAAGTGGAGTAATGAGTCCTTTTTTGAAAAGTTCCGCTATGAATGATGGATTGAATGGTTTATCATCATCGTCATCAGTCATCAGCTCACTTTAGAGAATCGGGTCTATAGAACAGCTCGGGAGCGGATCGCCCATCTCTAGTTAGGACTAGGGTTGGGAGGTAGATCTTATACCAGTAACGTACCACGAAAAGGTGATCTACCAGCTGGTTAGTATAATTATTTATGTATACCCTTGATATCATATTTGCCACCCAATCAGCACAGCTTGTTAAAAAGAAGTTAAAAATACTGTTTTATGACAAATATAAGTAATTAATATTAGTTGAAATTACTTCATTTCATACATTTGTGCAACTTAAAAAACTCAAGAGGTTGAGCCTAATAAAACTAATTATTGGTCAAATAGCATTTTCTGAAAAACATTATAATACCCAATCAAAAATTATCCTTCTAAACAAAAAAAAAAGACACAGAGACAACCATGGGATTAAATCCTTGGCGTTGTAAGTTTGTGCATAGTTTCCTTGCTACTAGTTTTGATCACTTCTGATTTAAATGTTTTCAAAGGGGCATTATAGTCTTTTCAGCAGATTTTGGCATGAGATTATAGAGAAAAAAAATTTTTTCCAACATGTTAAAGCAGCATCAAGTTAAGATGTCAAAAAAGGAGCAGTATGTGTTCTACTTTTGTATAACATTGCCCTAGATGCACTGGACTGTATACGCTAACGGTAAACACCGTTCCTTTTGACTATCATACCACTGTTATCAATTTTGACGAAATCAACTTCTTTTAAACCAGTGACTGAGTACACCATTATGGACACATGGAAATCTTCTTTTCTACAACAAGCACTCAATTTCAACCCACGAGAAAACAATTTGTCAGAAAGAGAAAAGAGAGTGAATCAAAATTTTGTGTATACCGGAAGAGGGAGCTTTGAACGGGTCCTCGTCGACGACTACCGATACCGTGCCCTCACCTTGGTCGCAGAATCTGCCTTTGGCACCGTTTTTACACTTGCATGAGTAGCCACCTCGACCATTAGGTATGCATTTTCCACCACGTTTGCACTGATGATTTTCACATGGGTCCACCTGTTTAAGCAAAAGGATGATCAACGAATTGGTAATATAAATATTTCAAGGGCTTTCTTTACCTCTTTCAGAATCATTGGCGTTTCCTGCATGAAATCTTCTTCTACATCGCCGTCGTTTTCAGCATCAAGCAGAGAGCAACCCGGCGTCACTTTCTGTTGACGAGCAGCGTTCAGAAAATCAACCTGCTTGTGGTTGATCCAAACTTCTTTCATGCATCCTTTGAAGCTAGTTAGATTCCGAAGATGCCACAACTTGTATGCCTGCTGACCCGGCTCGGGTGGTAGACCTCCGAGGAACATTGGCGTGGTCAATTTGAGAAATTCTTTCGATCCCTCGTTGATTATCGATCGAGCTAGCCCTCGATCAACACGAAGAGTGAAATTTTTCTTAATTGCCAGCAGTTCTACCATGTGATACTTCCCATCAGCAACCATTTCAAAGCTGTACATCGTAGAAACTGGATAGTTGCCCACATCGTAGCTGACTCGTATCCTTCCGTTAAATAGTTCTACGGCAAGGTGATCGTTGTTTCCATCGTACATCAGAACTCCGTTCTGCTGCGTACTGCTGAAAATTATGGTAACATTGGCCTCAGGTTTCGTTCGTAGTGGCTCCAGCTCAGCGAATGAATTGTTGTGCAGGAACGTCAAACTGGTTAGATATTCGCACCGTTTTCCAGAGTACCCTGGAGCACATTTGCAGACATAGTCAGCACTAGATGGATTCGGTTGGAAGCAAACGCCAAACTTGCACTCATGATGCTGACAAGGAGACGTCTGCGGATAGAGCATTGCCACCATCGGAGTACCTTCACAGAACTTCCCAGTAAATTCGGTTGGACATTTGCAAACATAATCGTTAATACCGTCGATGCAAGTTCCTCCGTTCTGGCACATGTGATTGACACAGTCGTCGATATTGTCCGAGCAGTTAAGCCCTCGATAGCCGGCAACACATTCGCAGCTGTAGTGAGTAGAATGATCAACGCATTTGGCACCATTCTGACACGGGTTGAAATCCTTCCCGCAAAATTCTATCTTTGAGTCACAGTATGGTCCAGTGAATCCAGGCAGACACGCACAACTGTACGAGTTCACGCCATCCAGGCAAGTTGCATTGTTTAGGCATTTGTGACTCGTACAGTCATCGATGTTGATTTCACATCGAGCTCCCGAATAGCCGGACATACATTGGCAGCTGAATCGACCTTCTTCTAGTACCGTGCAGGTACCGTTGTTCCGACATGGATTTCCGTAACATGCATCAATCATGAACTCGCAATGTGCTCCATGGTAGCCCGGAGGACACTGACATTCGTATTGTCTTTCAGGAAGTGGATTACACACGGCATTATTCTTGCATGGGAACGTATAGCATGCGTCACACTTTGACATGATTTCATTGCTAATCTTTCCCTTACAAAGGAACTGACTAGCTGGTGTGGAGAGAATGAGTTTGTCCTTCATTAGTTCCGGTTCTGCACAGCGAGCAATGCCCGGCTCGACGTAATCCCGTTTGACCCATTCCGATAGCCATTTCAGTGAGCAATCACAGTACAGTGGATTGCTACCAAGTGCTCTGAAAATTGGAAAGAGTTACTTTATCTACGACTTGAATTTGAATACCGAATCTTACATGTGGGTAATTGATTGAAGATCAGCAAACGATCCATCGGGAATCATCGAAATATGATTGCCGTGAAGCGAGAGTACCTTCAAGTTCTTCAATCCAGCAAGAGCGTATTGCTGAATGCACTGAAGGTTGTTATAACTGATGATTAACGTAGAAAGTCGAGTCAAATTGGAGAATGTGTAGTTTGATAGAATTCCAATTTTGTTGTTACTCAAATCCCTAAAATAAATTGCAAGTTTTCTTCGTTAGCATTTCAGAACCAATCCAAACTATATTTTGACTTACAATCGCGTCAGTGACTTCAAGTGACTGATCCTATTTGTGTGAACCATCGAGATATCGTTAGACTCCAAGTAGAGTTCGGTCGTTTCGGTGGGAATGGATTTCGGAAATTCCTTCAGCTTATTTCTGGAACATCGAACGACCGTTCCAGTGCAGGTACATGATGGAGGACAGTAACCTTCACCGAGGCATCCCTGGTCGGCTTCGGAGGTACATTTAAACTCAAAATGGGGCAAATCTTTTACGGGAACGTCGCGTACCTTGGCCGGAGAGGCACATCGTGCCGGAGGTCCGCCAAGCTGTTTCTTTCGTAGCCAGTCCGAGAACCAACCCAGATGGCAATTGCAGCGGAACGGATTCGAGGCGAGGTTACTTTAATTGAAGACACAATTTATAATACTGACTTTTGATTCTTTTAAACAAGGGATACTTACAGCTGAGTCAGCGAAGACAAAAAATCGAATGAACCAGGCATTACACAGCTGATTAGGTTATCATACAGCGATCTGAAAGAGAAGGATAAAACAGTTTTACAGTACAATACATAACATTGCTGATAATTGACCACGTTCCTCAAAAACAGGTGCAATATTGATCGATTTTTTTTTGTAAAATTTGATCATTTATTTACCAAACCTAGGGCTGCCCATAAACGATATGGCTAATGTAATAAAATCAAACCCCTGGAAAGTGACAACTTTTCATTTATTTATTAGCTATTTTGGTGGTTTAATTGGCGATGGTGATCGCCTGGTAAATTTCTAACCTGACGGTCGAACATACAGAGCAAAAGCTAAGTTGATCAAAACAAGAATACACTGATAGGCAAAATAAAGTGCCCACCCCATCATTTTTTGAATTTCTCTCATTTATTTGGTTCAAATTAAAGTAAATACACTGTAGTATTTTTTATATCTTATTCTTTATATTCTTTTTAAGTTTCACTTATAGAATACCAGATAAAAAGAAGAGACTGACTCGAAGAAAAAAAAATCAAAATGGGTGTAAAAAAGAACAGTGACAAAAAAAAGTGCCCACTGCATTTTAACTCCAGAAAACATAAAATAAAGTAAAAGAATACCAGCCTAATAGTTAATGTGTCCTCCTTTGGCCTTCAGGACCAGCTGCAGGCGCTTCGGCATGCTCTCCACTAGATTCTTCAGGTGCTGTGGATCTAGTTCTTCCCAGGCGCGCTCCAGGGCTTCAAAATAGTTATTTTTATTGGTAACACCAGTTTTGTCAACCCTGGCATCGAGAATCGCCCACAAATTCTCGATGGGGTTGAGGTCCGGGCTTTGTGGAGGCCATTCCAGTGGTTTAATTCGACATGACCGGAAGAAAGACTTAGTCTTCTTGGCAGTATGCTTCGGATCGTTGTCCTGCTGGAATACGAATTTCTCCTCAAGGCCCGTCTGGATCAGCGAAACTTCCAGATTTTCCCGCAGGATGTCGATGTAGGAATCTGCCGTCATTATCCCGTCGATTTTCACCAGGCTTCCCACTCCACCCCACGAAAAGCACCCCCAGACCATCACATTTCCTCCTCCATGCTTCACCGTGCCTTGTATGTGGCGCTCCTGAAGCTCCTCACCCGATCTACACCACACACGAACCCGTCGCTTCCGGTTGAACAGTTCGAATTTTGATTCGTCCGTCCAGAGAACCGTTTTCCAGAACTCTAGGGGCTTATCAGCATGCTCCTTAGCAAACTTAAGCCGTTTGACTTTGTTTGCCTTGCTGATAAATGGGCGCTTCCGAGCAACTTTGCTGTTCAACCCCTGTGCTACGAGACGGCGACGAACAGTTCGACTGGAAACTGTTAGCTGAAGAGCCTCCTGGATCTCGCGGACAGTTACCTTCGGGTTCTTCTTCACTTCACGCATGATCTTGGTGTCCGTTCTCGCATCCGTTTTGCGCATCCTGCCTCTGCCAGGGCGATCCACCACTGATCCGAACGATTTCATTTTCTGCAGAATTTTCCCGACCGCTGTTTTGCTGATATTGTACTTCCTAGCGACAGACCGGTGCGATTCACCGTTTTGCACATCACGAACAACCAATTTTCGGATACACACGGGAATTGCTTTCGAAATCACTACGTCCTCCATTTTTTTCAACTGATTCAAATGCGATCACGTGTACAAATGCACCAGTTCCACCCGTTTGCTTCAATACATGTCAAACTTTCAAAACAAAAACAATCGAGGGGTTTTCCGATGGAAACTTATCGAAAACATACCGATTTTTGAAGTGGGCACTTTTTTTTGTCACTGTTTTCTTTTTCAATCCAAATTGATTTTCTTTTACTTCAAGTAAAACTTTATATTTTCAGTATTCCATAGGTGTAACTTTAAAAGAATAATAAAGGTAAGACATCGAAACAGACTACGGTGTGTTTATTTGAATTTGAACCAAATAAATGAGAGAAATTTCAAAAATGATGGGGTGGGCACTTTATTTTGCCTATCAGTGTACATACCATTAACAATTGTAAATCTTCAATCTGCCCTATCATGTCCACAGGTCAACCATGGCTACCATACCCAAGTAACAATCTTGGTTTTATGATAGTTCTGTGGACCATAATTTAGACTTTTACAATGAGCTACTTTGGAACAAACTGAAATTTGTTTAGATAATGAAATGTAGAGAATCAATTTAAGAGATTTAAATAGATTGTAATAATGTTGTAACTAAGATGTGAAGCCGATCACTTTCACGATCATTTGATAAAAATATCACCATTTGGCATTATGCCGTTTGGCATACAGTCTTTTGGCATAATAGTCGTTTGGTATAAATTCGTATGGCATAAAAGACACGGCTTAGACCATGCAAATACAATTTTAAGACGAGAGTAGGCACTGGATTTAATAATTTGAATTTCTTATTTTATTACCGGTTATCCATGATAGTAGAAAAATAAATCTAATTATAAAATTTTCTGAAAATGGCCTTACAAGGTTTGTTTACAAAATGGAGTTAAGGCCATTTCAATTGTTGGTCTTTATATATGCCCCAGAGCGAGTGTTGCGGTCACGACAACTATTCCAACCAACTCCGAGGAAAACTTAATAAGGCTCAAATGATCCAGTGAACTCCATAAGCTGACGGTTTCAATAAGTTTTTGATTTTAAAATGCCTATAAACGCTTTTAAACAACGTATACGATCCCTGCATATATTTAATTGAACTAGGATTAAGAATATTTCATTAAGACCACGATGTCCGATAGTAAATAACAACAATAAAAAAATAAATAAATTTCATGATAAGACAGAAATGGTATATCAATTTTTTATTCACCTCTGGACATATTTTTTATTCACTCCTGGACATATTAAAAATCAACCCATCAAACAATATTAGCTGCAGGCAAAACTAGCTGTAGAAGTTTTTTTTTGCCTGTACATATCAGCTTCATTGTTTTGCCTGCAGCTGAAATTGTTAGTTGGAAAGATATTGTGACAGCAGAAAATTGTCGAGAACTCGTGGATAAAAACCATTCCAGACTATGGGCTTCAAAACATTTTCAAGGTTCTACAATTTGAAAGTAATATTCAATATTTTTTTTGAAGTCTCCCGTGTTAGGGAGAATGAATTGCAGATCTCGGATTTGTTTAAAACCTCTTAAATAAACAAAAAAAAAAGATCCTGGCGTAAGAAAAAAAAATTGAAGATGAAAACAAAATTCAGCTTTAACAACATTTTCGGAATTAACGGCGCCGGTGGTGTAGTGGTAAGCGTGATTACCTCTCACCCCAACAGGCCTGGGTTCAATCCCAGTCGGCGCCGCCGGGATGTTCTGAGGCATAACATCTCTGATCACGCCTTCCTTCGGATGGGGGAAGTAAAGCCGTTGGTCCCCGGTTCATGAGTTGATGGGTCGATAGGTAGGGTCCAGGTGTGGGAGCTGTCTTCCTGGCACGTCGGTAGCATTGGTGCTCAGCACGGAAAACAAGATCGACGGAAAAAACAAACCAAAGGAAAAAAAAACATTTTCGGAATTCTTATACCCAGATATTAAAAACCTCAGAATATCAAAAAAATCAACTAACAATAAGAAACTTTTAAAATCCTAAGCGGGCTTAAATAATAATCAAGATCCTACACAAAGAATTTATTTTTGTAGTGCAATTGTCAGATTCAGAAACCCAAATTTTTTTCGAGATTTCTGACTGGTAAAAATCATATAGACCGATCAAAACATTCCAAAATTCTGCCAGTTCATGGAAATTTAAAAATAAGATTGTTCTCATTTTCCGGTTGATTCCCGGTTCTCCTGGTTTTCCCGGATCAGTTACCACCCTTTTAGACAAAATCTTCAAAAATTTAACTTGAATTGACGGACGGTTTGAAAGTTTATATTGAAATTGCAGCTTCTATAGGCAGGCTTAGTAATGTTTTTTTTGTGTGACCTGATTCTTACTTTGCACGATCGCACACAGGCTCAGAGATCTTAAGGGCAGTCCCAATAACTTCAGGAAAATTCAGACTTTTGGAGATGTTTAAAGATCTGTAAAGGATAATTTCAGGTAACTCAGGAAAGCTCCATGAGTTCTAGGCAAATTTAGAGAAACTTAAGTCAAGAGAACTCCTGATAAATTTATAAAACTTCATACATATTTTGGAATAATAACAGAAGTCCAGAAAATTTCAGGGAAAATTTTTAGGGGTAGAACTTTATGAGAACTTCATAAACTTCGGAGTAGCTAGTAGATCAGAGATGGTCAGAAAACCTCAGTTCAATTTACGTGATATGAAACTCAGGGAATTTCCAAAAACTTCAGCAAAGTTCTCAAATCTCCAGAGAAGTCCTGAGAACTTTAGAGAAGTTTTTAGATTTTTAGGTACTTTCATTATTTTTTGGAATGTTCAGAGTATTTGAAGAATGATCATAAATCTTCAAAGCAGTTTTTTTTTAAATTAATAGTTAGGACTTTCAAGAATCCGGGAAATTATAGATAATTCCTAAAAAAAAATCAGGAATATTCGGGAAGTTCCATCAATATCAGGAAAATTGTTATAAGTTATAAGTAACATCAGTAAGTTCTTGATAATTTAGGGAACATTGTCATGGAGGAACAAAACTTCAGGTAAGTATAAAGAAGTTCAGGGAAGTTTAGAGATTTTAAGGGTTGTTCCATGACCTTAAATTTCGAAAACTCTTCGAAAATTTAGGAACATTTGGATAGATCAAAGAACTCCAGGAAAATTGCATGAACTGTTCAAATGTTCTGAGAAATTAAAAAAAGTTGAGACATTTGTTTGAGTTCATCGATCTTAAAGGCAGTACCAATAACTTTAGAGATGCATCGAAAAATTATGAAAAGTTTAAACTTTTAAAGATCTTGAAGAATCATTAATTATGTTTGGGTTTCGAGCCAGGAGTTGGGATTTTTATCATGGCTAGTTTTAGTAGATCGTAGAACTTTTTGCGCTTAACGGAAGATGGTTCAACTTTATATCTCATGAAGAAGGTCAAAGGTCTGAAGACTGAAACTTCGCACATAAAACATCGTAGCGTTTTGATCCACCGTTAAATTGAAAATCCAATATAAAAATGGGTATTTTTAAGTTTTGCTGATTGCACTGATTACAGACAAATTGTACCCGTACTCTAGTTTAGTGTGTGTTCTCCCTTAATTACAGTTATAGATGCTCCTTAAAGAAGGCGCATGGATTTGAGATGAGCGGGACACACATATGCGAAATCAGTGAGTAACCAGTTCTAAAATTACCATGACAGCACTGTTTTTACTTTTCGTGAAAATTTCGTGACTAGTATTCTCATATTCTCGACTCGTGACTAGTATTCTCATATTCTCGACACAGGATGCGTTGAATTTGCTTCGCATGTTATGAAATAAAATAATCAAGATAATAGAATATTAAGGAGATTGAATAAATCAATGATTTCCATGCTATAGTTGCTTGAACATTTTTAGGTTAAGCCATTGTTCCTCGGTCTATGAGTTTATGGGTCGATAGGTAGGGTCTAGGTGTGAGACCTGCCTCCCTGACGTCGGTAGCTTAGGTACTTAGTACGGAAAACAAATTAAAGGAAAAAATCGGGGGTCTAAAACACTTTATTTTCACCCTTAGAAATAAACGCTTAAATTGTCACACATTTGCCTTCCATGAAACATTTCATTAGGAGTCTCAATATTACGGGGCAAGTGCCCTCTATCGAATGGTGAAGGTGTCGGGCATTCCGATTTTTTTGTTTTAATTTTATTCTAAGAAAGACGCTATGCACTGCCCAGCTGTATTTCTAAGATTAGATAGATGTTATATTCCATTTTAAATAAATTAAATCAATGCCTAGAAAATGTTTGAATATCAAACATCGACACCACCCACTGCCCACGAAATCACCGCTGGAAAAAAAAAAAACAGCCACACCACGATAGAAGACGATGTATCGTTAAAAGATGCTTTATAAAAATATGCTTACAGAGTTTTCAGCTGATGTAATCCCAGGAACATTTTGTTGTGCACTTCGGATATTTTGTTCTCGCTCATAAACAGTTCCTGAATTTTGGTAGCCCCCTCGAAGGCATTCGGTTCGATGTTGGCAATTTGGTTCCGCCGTAGATCCAGCTTGACCAAATTTGGTAGCCGTCCGAATAGGCCATCCGAGCGAACTCGAGTCAATTCGTTGTCGTTAAGTATGCTGTAGATGAGAACATGGATCTGTAATTGGTTCTTTTTTATCACATTATTTTTGTTTTCTTACAGTTCTGTCGTGTACAGTGGAATGTCTCTGGGAATTTCTTTCAACCCACGTGCTGAACAATCCACCGTTGTCCTGTCGCAGTGGCAAGCAGCCGGGCATTCTTGATCCATCCGACACTCACCAGCGTATTTGATTTTGCTGTGGTCTTCCGTGCCTGATTCCGTAAAGAATAGAAAAATACCATTCGTTTAGTCTGTAAACACCTGCAGCGAAATAATGTTAACAAATCAACGTACATTTAAACTTCTCGTCCTTAAGCGCCTCGATACGGCGTCGCTGCATGCGCTTTGGAGAGTCACAACGGGCTCCGCTGGTTTCAATGGGGTTTTGATGCAAATAGTCTCCAAGCCACCGTAGATTACAATCGCAAATGAAGGGATTACGTGCCAAGTGCCTGTAAAAGGGCCAGTCCCAAAGTGGTGCCAAGAAGCCGCAGATGCGAATGTAAAATAGACAAAACAAAACCGTTAGAAAAAAGGCTACGACAGACAGGCACTTAAGCGGTCATATATAAATTGAAAATTGGATTCAACATTTTTTTACATAAGCCGATTAACTTATGGGGGGAAACATTGACTTACAAAGTTTGGATGCTCTTCAGCGAATCGAATGTTCCATTGACAAGAGTCTGAATGTTGTTGTCATACAACGATAACAAACTCAAATTCTGGAGATCCTTAAAGGCATCCTTTCGTACGCACGTGATTTCGTTTGCGTTCAGTAGCAGCAGCTGCAGGGATGTTAATCCTTTGAAAACACTCGCTGGCAAATCTTTGATTTTATTGCCGTAAAGGACACTGGCGAGAGCGAACCGTGGAAGAAAAAGGATAATAAAGTTATTTATTTATGATAATTCTAGTATATTTCGGGGGAAAACCCTACAGCGAAGTAAGTGATTTGAGCCCACTGAAGGCATCGTACGCAACCCGCGAAATATTGTTGTTGGACAGATCTATCCGCTTCAGCCGGCGATGGTTCGCGAATGCTTTCGGAGGGATTTCGGTGATGTAATTTTGCTCCAACCGCCTGTAAAAATATTTTCATTAGTCAGTGCTGGCTCTATAGGTATATACAGAGTGCATGAAACTGAGGTTGGTTTGGTGGGGCAGGATAATACTCACAGTTCGGTTGTGTCTTCCGGCAGTGTGGCAGGGACACTGGTCAAACTTTTTTCACGACAATCAACAATACCATCAGCACACCGGCACGGATGTGGACAGAGGCTCCTTCCCCCGCATTCCATGGGAGCGTTCTCGGTGAGACCTGTTGAGGGAAAGCAAAAAATTTATGCTACGCGGTCAATGCGATTCAGTAGAGGTGCTTTATTTAGCGGTTGCTTGTTGTGACATTGGTTGAAAGTTTGAAATAAGTGTTACCCGTTTTAATTGTAAGTTCTGTTCAAAAACTTTTTTTTTGTGGTTCTCGTATTGGTCGATGATTTGATTTGGGATTTAACCATCTACTGACAATTTATTTTAAATAATTCTGCTTTTTTTTAATTAATGCCTCCAAGGCAATATAAAAATATTTGATGATAAAATAATTTCCAGATCAATTTAGTTTGTCTAGAGCAGTTTTAATCAATCAAATATTTTCTTTAAATTTTCTCACGAACGACTGCACTAATGTAAACTAAACATGGCCAGCTGAAACTTAAACTAACGAGCAAAAAAAAAAAAAAAAAAATGGGTGCAGTCTAAATGTTATTACCATTGAGTTTGCTTTTTGAAGTTAATAGTATTTTATCGATGAAATTATGTTTTTTACTCTGAAAATCATAGAATTATTTTGTTTAAAAAAACTTTACAGAATGATTTAGCAACCGATTTATTCCAAACGTGCATGTAAAATGGTAAATAGATAGACGGGCATGGGCAGTAGAGGGTTAGTGTATTATTCAAAGTATTTTTCGAGTAACGCGAAATGGTGTCGTTTTTTATTGAGGTATACTTTCCCAAAGTGAACCAGCCTCTGGCTGAAAACCTTGTTAATACAGAACAAAATAAGATATACCTACACTACCGATCATAAGTTTAAGGACACCCCCAAAAAACCATGCAAATATGTTTTGTTCAATGATCTCTCATTTTACGTTTAATTTTCGATCTCCAACGGTTATTTGAATAGTGTGTTCTACTACTACTTTTATTTCAAAATTTGGCCAACCCAATTCTGAGAAAATCAGTCACGATATTTCAGAGTAAATTTTGAAAAATATTGTAACTTTGGGTGAATTTTTAGCATACAAAATTTGAACAATTTGCTAACGAGGAAAGTTTCATTCAATACCTTTCAAATGATCTAAAGAGAACGAAAATTGGACGTAACATGACAGAGATATGAACATAACAAATTTGTCATGATGTTTTGGGGGTGTCCTTAAACTTATGATCGGGAGTGTACCTAACTGAATCGACTTTATGGTTGAATCCCTTGGTCTAATTTTACCGATTTAAAGCTTTTTGTATTATGTTCGCTTTAACATTTTTGGGTCCTCCGTGAAGTTTCCGGGATGAGATTTTAACTCGTAACTTTGGCCTGAGTTGTATGGGTGTTAACCACTAGGCCGGGCGTCCCTAGTTGACTAAGCTATACTTATAGCTAACAATTTCTGTTGGGCGACACTACTCACACATTGGAGGGGACGTGGGGTAATTTACAGATCGATTTTCACTACTTATTAGACTGGTCCACATTTATATTGGGGATTTTTTTTATCATTTTTTCAACGGGCCAACCAAAGCGCCAGCTCATCCTACAACCAAGTGAGCTGAAACTTCCAGATAATGGTTTTCTCACCTAAAGGCACAAATCTAGAGGCCTGTGGAAAATTAGAACGTTTAAATAATATTTTAGAACTTTTTAGAACTTTAATTTTTTTTAAATTGATAAAAAATATGCATCCCATTTTGGTGCATTCATGAAATTTCTTGATGTTACCGGACACATTATTTTCCAAAAAATCTGCTCAAAAAAGAATTTTTGTATTTCGCGGGTTATTATGGCATCTATGTATGACACAAACGTCGTTCTCATACACTCTGCGTGATGCCAAAAATTACTGGTTTTCTGGTTTGATTTTACATCAAAATTTGACAGCTGCTGTAAACCTAAGAGGAAGAGGAGACAATACGGAGGCAAAAACGAACCACTTTTCTGTCAAACGCGAACCAGCTCGTGATTGACCGATTTGAAAGGCGTAAGATAGAGATAGAGATAGATATAGATAGAGATAGAGATAAAGATTAAAGCCTCCTCTTCCTCTTAGCTGTAAACATTAAGCGAGCAAGCTCCGTTCAAGCGTGATGCGCTGTTAGGGTAGTTTGTTGCGAGCGTATTGAAGAAAGCCAGGGAAATTTGTTTCAATCTTGGTTGTGTCGTGCGGATCGGTGTTCGTGGAGTTTATCTGGTTTAACATTGCTTAAAAATGTAATGCATTGGATGTGATAGCAGCATAAATACTCCAGTAGGTATTGTAATGAGGAGTATCCAGTCCTGGGCACTTACTTTAATTATAGAAATATTATTCATAGTGGCAGGAAGTGATGATTGTATTTTACACACTGATGCTCATCGTAACTTCACATATTACTTTTTCGATAGATTTTCTACATCCAAATCGGAATTGCAGCAATGAGTAACTGCATTCAAGAGTTTCACAGGCCAAGTAGTACAATCCTTACCAAATCAGATAACTTATCGTCATCGGCACCGGTGGTGTAGTGGTAACCGTGATTATCTCTCACCCAAGAAGGCCTGGGTTCAATCCCAGTCGGCGCCGACACGATGTTCTGAGCAGAGCAGAGGTGGCAACAGTACATTTTTTGCAAAACCATCGTCCAGAGCAAAACAAAACAGCCAGCACACGGGCGGTCGTGTATTTCTACATTATAAGCAAACGGCGGAGATAGAAAATAGGAAAAATGTCGTAGCTCATTATTTTTCAAACAGTTTATTGAAATTACATTTTAGCTGCAAGCATGCGTATGACAGTAAATTATTAACTCCCTTATTTACGCATTATTTTAAACATCTAAGCTTATGAGTGGTTAGTATTCGTTCTTTTTTTTATAATTCCATGCAATAAACATCAAATAAATGCTATAATTAGCCAGAAATCAGCTAAATTCTACATTGCATAAATTTATTGTCTGCTTCATTGTGCGCAAATGTTCTGTCGCCTGCAGAAAACAATTTAGAAATGTCATGACATTTTTTCCGCTTGCCAGTTTGTGTTTGTGCGTCTTCTCTATGGTCATTGCGCAAAGTATCAAATGTTAAGGAAAAAACGTTAAACTCCAGTACTCGTGCCACCACTGGTTCTGAGGCATAACATCTTTGATCACGCCTTCCTTCGGAAAGGAAGTAAAGCCGTTGGTCCCCGGTTCATGAGTTGATGGGTCGATAGGTAGGGTCCGGGTGTGGGAGTTTCCTTAGAACATCCCGGCAGCGCCGACTGAGATTGAACCCAGGCCTGCTGAGGTGAGAGGTAATCAAGCTTACCACTACACCACTAGCACCGCTATCATATAGTATGGTTGTCTTTAGACATTTATAGTACGGTCAATCCAGTATTAACGAATAAATAAAAGTACCTTATTTGAACTAATTGTGGCCAAGTCTGATTTTAGGGTAATTTGCAGGGATAACATCCTGGTGTCTTTGGTGAAACTCACAACTGTTTGAACCCGGGAGATTCTACGCCGTCCCAGAAGGGGACGTACCTAACCCCCTGACTGCTGTTCTATGCCAGGCAGTCTTTAGGGTGGGCATCAAAGGCCTCTTTTGCTCACAGGTCTCCGGGCGTTGGTGAGGCAGGGAGAGTTTTCGGAATTATGAGACACCTGACCAACGGGTTCATTTAGCCTTTAATTATTGGTTTTATTGATCCAATGACGGGTGGGAGGTAAAACGCTTACGCTTTTGTCGACTTCAGTGACGTGGCTGAGGTTACTCAAGGTTGCCAGGGACAGTGCGTCCAGCACGTGATCGACCGCGATCGAACAAGCCGATCTACGATCGTTTGTAGAGTTGTCGTCGGGAATTCACCGGTAAATTTTGGAAACAGGAATGGAGTCGGACGCAGGATGCCCGAACCATGGGAGTCTATGGATAGCGCCGAAAAACCGATGACCGCTATCAGTGGCAGAAAGAAGACGTCACTGTCGTCTGCCAGTATCACCGCAGCATATGCTCTTCACACACTATCTCCCAAAAGTGCACTCTAACAACGTGCCTCACGTCTTTGAACACCAACCAAACTTCACCTGATCCACAGATCTAGACTCACTACCTTTCTCTCCTCTTCTTTGTAGCTCATTCACCACCCAGTAACTCCCTTTCGATATGCGTTTTGCTCCATCCGCTGTTCCATCCACTGCTCCATCCGCTGCTCCATCCGCTGCTCCATCCGCTGCTCCATCCGCTGCTCCATCCGCTGCTCCATCCGTTGCTCCATCCGCTGCTCCATCCGCTGCTCCATCCGCTGCTCCATCCGCTGCTCCATCCGCTGCTCCATCCGCTGCTCCATCCGCTGCTCCATCCGCTGCTCCATCCGCTGCTCCATCCGCTGCTCCATCCGCTGCTCCATCCGCTGCTCCATCCGCTGCTCCATTCACTGCTCCATCCGCTGCTCCATCCGCTGCTCCATCCGCTGCTCCATCCGCTGCTCCATCCGCTGCTCCATCAACTGCTCCATCTGTCGTAGCCCACTTCATTAGGGGAGTCCTATCGCTACCCGTAATCTGGTTGTTGACTACTCCGCCCACGCAGTTCAAAATGGCCACAAACTTAGCAAACTGAACACTGTTTCTTTCTCTATCGTCTCACGCAACAAAAAACGGTTATCGTTCGGTAACCTTGAGAAAGCTATTGAGCAGTTAGCTGGCAACCTTCTGGATCCAGAAGATCCGGATCAGGGCTGAAAAAATCACTAAAATTCATCAAAGTTCACTATGGGTGAAAAATTCATTTCATAGTGAATGCTGATGATTTTTTCATGATTTTTTCAACCCTGATCCGGATCATCCGTAAAAGTGCTCAATTCATAAAACTGATCATGGAGCTCTGAATAAAAAAAAAACTAATCCTAGAGCTCCAGGTTTCTCCGGAACAACTGACAGAGTCTTATCTGAATGAACTCGAAGTTGTGATTAGTCGGCGCTGGTGGTGTAGTGTTAAGCGTAACTGCTTCTCACCCCAATAGGCTTTCGGAAGGGAAGTTAAGCCGTTAGCCCATATGTGTTGATGGGTGCGATATCCTA